CCTGGCTGTGCTTACAGTAGGATCATTGTCAGTTACCCAGTCGGAGGGAGGTTCACAGTCATGCTTAACTTCTTACATTTTTTGAATGACTGCACTGACAGTTGATCTTTTTTACAAAGCTGCTTGGTAATATCCCTGTAGGCATTTCCAGCATTGCAAAGGTCTATCATTTTGTCTATAGTGTCTTTGGACAGCTCATTGGTCTTAGCCATGTTAGTGTGTGGGGCAGGAGAGGTGTCTTTATCCAGCTAACGACCTCAAACACGTCTAATTTAGATGAGTGGAGGTGGACCTTTTAGAGGCAGAACAGGTCTTTGTGGGCCAGAGTTTTTGCTTATTGCCAGGTGTTTATACACATATTTGCAGCAGTAACATACAAATGAATTAATTAATACATTGTTATTTCAGGACTTTTTTTTTATTGTGCCTCTCACAGAGGACATGCATGGAAGAGGAAAATGTCAGACCCCTCCTCCATGTATTTTAAGGAGGTGGTCTAAAATCGAAGGGTGTTCAAAAAATTATTTTCCACTGTAGTTCTTTGCTCTCATTGATCCTTAATAAATTTGTGACAGTAAATAGAGAGGAAGAAAAACATGCGTTTTAAGGTCAAACACTTTCTTTATTGATTCAGTAATAATGGCATAGAGAATAACAGTAAATGCTTAAAAGTTTCTAATTTTTGTTACACCATTGTGACACAAAATCCTCCAAAAAAACATAATGATGTTATGTTAATGAAAAAAAAAAAAAAAATCAGGAGTAAACAATAACACAAAGAGTTGATATACCAGTTTTTAAGTAGGTAAAAAAGGTGACCTAGGAGGATTAGACTGGAATGTAGACACTCAATGAAAATCCTACAGAAAGATAAAGGCGACAATAATAACAGAATAAAGGAAGAAGGAAACAATGAGGCCCAGATGAAGCTGGGTGGAGTTCAGAAGTAGGTTAGCAGAAGAAAATACAAGGTCACACTATAACAGCTGGACACAGAGTGGAAAACTTAAAGGCAGAATTCAAAGAATCCTGTAAGGTTTTGTGTTTGTTCCAGGTGAAAATAGGGGCAACAGGAGGCGTCTGCTGACTAAAAGCAGAGGAAAAACCAGATTCTTGTATTCCGGGAAATGTAATTTGATTTATCAAGGAAATATAGAATTTAGATACATTCCAGTATAAAAGGAAAAGGAAAATAATGCAACCAGATGTTTTACTTATTGCCTATGTTTGATTTCGTACAAATAAAAGCTGCTATAGAGCTCAAACAATATAAGGTAAAAAAAAAAATAAAAATCTCTGTGAAGTTTGGTTTAATTCTAAGCAACATGTTCATTATAATATTGGAGGCAAATATTTCAAGCAAACACAAATGATCAGAAAGATCCTTTGATGGATTCAATGATTTAGACACACATTTAGATAAACAGTTTATTATATAGTCGACTATAACGCCAAAACCATTCAGTTATATTTTCTAACATACGTATAAAATTTATAAAATACTTTTACTTACTTCTTATCTCAAAGAAAATGTCATTTTATTGTTGTTGTATTTTGTAAAAGGTCTAGGTCAGTACACACAAATATTCTCAAAAACAGATGTAAGAACTCACTACAGTAATGTTGATTTTTTTTTTTGATGACTTAAAAGAGGAAAAGGTTAGTTTGTAAGAAATTCAATTCAGTTTATTTATATAGCGCAAATTCACAACACATGTCACCTCAAGGCACTTTATAGTTCAACCAGATCATACAGTCAAATTGATTGAAAGTTTTCTAAGAAAAACCAGTTGATTGCATCGACTTATTGACTCAAATGCAATCAGTCACACTAAGCATGCTTGTAGCGACAGTGGAGAGGAAAAACTCCCTCTTTATAGGAAGAAACCTCCAGCAGAACCAGGCTCAGTGTGAGCGGCCATCTGCCGAGGCCGACTGGGGTTCAAGGAGACAGAAGCAGAGATACAAGAACCAGCTGTAAAAGGCGGCCCCGTCCAGGAAACACACAGCCAGGCAGACGAGCTCTGAGCCAGCTCCCATGTCAGAGGATGAAGAGAGCACATCCAGCCAGTCATGGTCAGAGAAACAGGACTACACTGGAAAACAGGCCAACCCCCAACATCGATAAACAAAGGTGTTGATGGCAGCAGCACAGCTGATATTTCTCTCCAGGATGGTGTCACAGCCAAACAGGAAGAGACGAGGCGAAGCTACTATGAGAAAAAGCAGAGAGAGCAGAACGTTAGAAATTGAACAGATTCTGCTGAGTGGGAGAATAGAGATAGAATGAAGCAAAATTATGAAATAGGGGTCCCTATGCCCTCCAGCAGTCCAAGCCTATAGTAGCATAACTATAGAGATAGCTCAGGATAAGCTGAGCGACTCCAACTATAAGCTTAATCAAAAATAAAAGTTTTAAGCCTAGCCTTAAAAGTAGACAGGGTGTCTGCTTCACTGATTTAATTGGTAGTTGGTTCCACACTGCAAAAAATTTAAATCTTAATAAGTAATTCTTTCTTAAAATAAGTGCTTTTTTCTTGAATTGAGGAGGTAAGTGAGACACTTTGCCAATGGAACAAGATAATTTACATTTAAAATAAGAAAAAACAATTGCATTGTCTTATTTCAAGTGAATTTTATCTAATTGTCTTATTTTAAGAGTAAAAATACTCATTCCATTGGCAAATCCTTTTACTTACCTACTCAAATTAAGGGTAAATACACTTAATTTAAGAAATCTTTACTTATTTCTTATTTTGCAGTGCACTAGAGACCTGTTAATTTATTGTTCAATGATTCTATGCTTTCTGCGATTTATTGTGATGGGTAGTGTTGCCAGAAATTAGAGTCGTGTGAGATTAGTGTCACTTTTAATTTATAATTGATATGTAAAATAAAGAATTAACTCATAATTCTGTACTGGTTACTGTTAGAAACAATAACTTTTCCTCTAATATAAAGGCCAATATAAGAATAAAAAAGTACAATGAGTTTCTGCAAAAAAAAACCCCAAAAAACGATGTGAACGTTGGAACACAACAAAGAATTTCCAGTTATGGTATAAACTGTTTCCTGTATACTGACTTTACCTCTAACCTGAACATTAGGTTCAGCAGAAAACTAGAACAATGGAGTTTCCTGTGAAAAAAAGAGATTTAACATAGCATACATGTGTTTGTTTGGCACATTTGTGCTTAAATAAGCTTTTTCTTTATTTGGTAAATTAACCAAAGGTGGGTAGAATAGTGAAACAAATTTTACTCAAGTTAGAGTGCCATTAAAGATGGTATAACTCACAAACAAGTAACGTAAAACTACTTGAAGAAGTTGATTATTTGGAAGGCAGATTTGTCAAATAAATACAACTTGTCACTTTCATTACCTGTAATACGTAGAATAGAGATAAAACAAAGTTGCAGATGCTTTTACCTACATATATATTCTGTATAGTTATGTAGGAATAGGATCACTGCATAGCCACCATGACGACTGTGGGTAAATATGAGATGGATGAATTTGCTGAATGTTTTGTCACAGCAGAGTTTTATTTCACTACCTTCCCTTTACAGTAAATCACATGTCACATGAAATTCCCAGCTCTATATAAATAGTATGAAATTTACTGACACTCGAACTCTGAAAGGCTCAAACCGCTGGATCGACCAGTGTCTAGTTCACAGAGGAAGGTGTGCCAGAAAAATAAACAGCCACAGGAATGTTACTGAGGAGACACATCAACAATAGCTTTTAATAAATGAGCTTTTAAAAAGGATAAATGATTCCCACGCATTAACAAAACTAGAATCAGTCTACAAGAGAATATCCTCACCCATATAGAGTTGTTTGCACGTATATTTCTGCATAACAGTGACTAGAATAAAAGGTGCAGGCGCTCACGAGGACTTCATGGGACTACGTTTGTAATGTTTTTGTCGAACACAGAAGAAAAAGAACAAGGAGATTTTGGATACAGCCTCTGCGTTTGCTCCTTATTTTGGAAACAGTCGCCTGCCCTTCCAAACAGTTGGATAGCTAATTTTAGAGAAAGTCTTCTCACCTTCACAGAAAGGCTTTTCTTAACATTTGGCCCCTCTCCTAAATGGAAACTTTGATATTGCACCTCTCTCTTCATTCTCTTGTGTCTTTATTTTCATGTTTACTGCCAACAGATGATTGCAGAGGTGAAGAACCCTGACGCACACAGTATCAGTCCCCCTTTGTTACTATACATGCAAACTGGTGAAGATTCTCAGTCATCCAGGTCATAGTCATATCAAAAAACTAAAAAAAAAAAAAAAAAAACTATCCATTTTCCGTTTTGGTTCACCCTATATAGCCTCGAACTTAACGCCATTTCTGACATTTTCTAATTCAAAAAGCTTCCTGGATGGGAAGCGAAACGTCTTTAAACTTGGAAACAAAGTCCAGTGGATTGTTTTTTAACTGTTTGGAATATACATGCAACATGGAGCTAAACTGAACACATTTTATACAAAAAAAGAAAAGTTTTCAAAATATCTCCAAGTAAATTCAGTGTTTATTTGATGTCTCATAAATTAAGCCAGTGGAGGTGGATCTAGCAAAGGCCTTCCCTAAAGCTGGATTTATCTTTCCTTGCTTCTTTGTGAAATTCCCTGGTGGTTTCCTGACTTTTCTTTTTGGAAAAAAATTCTGAGGATCTTGGTCACATGTTTTTCTATCAACAGAAGCCACTATGCTGGTGTTCCTTTCCAAGCAGCAAAGGCCAACGGTGCCTCTCCTCTTAGAATGGAATGTTGTCCTGCAAACACATTTCGATCCTCCTACTCTTCTATAAGAGTAGGCAGTCATGTTCCTCTCTTGCCTTTAATCCGTCTGCACCTGTAGACTTGATTGACGAGAGATAATGACGAGGTGCTAGTACCTCAACTGGCTGGATACCTTTTGCAAAGAAGACTGAAGAGAGGGGAGAAAGAAACTAAAACAAAGGGAGAAACCAACAAATTTCTTAAACTTTCAATATGTTTTTATCAAAACAAGAGGAGCAGCTTACCCAGGAGCTGAGCTGTCCCATCTGTCTTCAGCTCTACAGGGATCCGCTTGTTCTCCCCTGTGGGCACAACTATTGCCAAGCTTGTATCTTGAAGTCAGCTAACTCCACAGGCGGCAGCAAAGAACCTCTGCGATGCCCGGAGTGTCGCGAGATCTACGAGGGCGTTAATTCCCTGCAGAGAAATTTCAAACTCTCAAACATTGTTGAGGGTTTCCAAGCCTCGTCAAACTCCCAGAACATTTATGAAGAAATCCGGGACATAACTGAACCGGTGGTGGAGGATGATACCATCGTCTGTGACCACTGCATAGATCATCAGTCTCCAGCGGTGAAAACCTGCCTGAAGTGTGAGGTGTCGCTGTGCTCCAGGCACCTCCAGAAACACAACGAGAAGGAGGCGTTCAAGTCCCACTCTCTGGTGGATCCTCTGAAGGAGTTTGGGATGAAGGCCTGCCCGGTTCATAATCTTCCACTTGAGTACTTTTGTTCCAATGAGATGATGTCTCTGTGTGCCACATGCTTCATAGAAGGCCATCACCAGAACCATGATGTCCTCACCTTCAGCGTGGCAGAGGAGGAGATGAGAAGAGCCCTGGAGAGCCGCAACAAGGTAGGCTCTTGTATTTTGGATGCAATCATTTCGACATTTGCATAACATTTGATTACTATTGGAAATTAAACGAACAATAAAGGAGAATGCACTGGAAAAACGATCTAGAAATTTAAATTAAGTGTATTTATCCTTAATTTGAGTAGGTAAACTAGATAGTTTGGCAATGGAATGAGTATTTTTACTCTTAAAATAAGATAATCAGATAATATGCACTTGAACTAAGACAATGCATTTGTGTTTTCTTATTTCAAGTGTTAATAGTCTTTTTCGATAAAATAAAAATATCTCTTTTATGTCCTCAATCCAAGATCAAATACACTTATTTTAAGAAAAAAATGACTTATCTAGATTTAGATTTTTTCCAGTTTGCTAAGTGTTAAAAGTGTTCTGTCCCCTAACTCCTGTGATTAAAACACAAGTAGGAAAGAATTCTACACTTATAAATAAGTAAATTGCCGATGACTTGCTGGATTCTGATAGACTGGCTTGTCAAAAGGTTGCTGAGCTTGAATGACAAGAATATCAAGAGAAAATGAAACGTGACCTCTATGAAGTCCTTAAAACTTTACTGATGGGAATGTAGTTTGCTTGGTGTTTTGTGATAGATGACCAAGAACAATGAAAAAGATGGGAACATTGTGATTGCTTGTGACAGTTCTCAGTTCTGCATGACTGACTCAGAGATAATACCTTTATTTACCTTTATTCATTTAACAACGTCTCTGTTTTCCTCTTTTTTTTATGCACTGCAACAAATTTGCATCTATCTGTTTTACAAGAATATATTTCCATTACTACAAAGTAAATGTCAGTCTGTACATGCATGTCTGCAGGTGGTTAGCAGTCGACTGCAGCTGACAGAATGCCTCCTGCAGAAGACAACGGAGGATCAGGGAGCCTCCGAGGCTGTCGGGGAGAAAATGGTCAACAAGGCGGTCTCACTTATGGATAGCATGGCTGCAATAGTGGACAGGTAAGACACAAAATGGGCACTGGGATGCAACATGACTTATTTTTGTCAATCTACCACTAGACTTTCAGAATAAATGGTCATATCCTTCCATTTTACTGACTAGTATTTTGGAAATTCAAATTCATTTACATAAGTGTTTGCCCTCATGCCTATATCAAATAAAACTTTATCACAGACCCCAATATTTATGAACTGCAGGCCTTCCCTCCAATATCATTGTTGATCTAAGATTTCTTTATGAGATTTCTCTTGGAAAAATTATTTTTCCATTTGAGAAAGTTGCTAGAAAAATCATCAACTAATCTGCAAAATAAAATAGTACAACATTAAAAGAAATTAAGTTGTATAATTCATAAATCACTCATCCTCAAAGGCAGAGTCCAGTTACACTCTGCTGAGTCACAGCAGTCCCCATTCAGAAGCAAGAGTCTCCCAGGAGCTTCTCTCTCATTCTAATATCATTAATATAGTTAACACAAGCATGAATGTATTTTTTAATGATATTAAAATATATTCATGCTCATTAGCAAATGTGATTGGTATTCATCATCAGCTTATCTGATTGTCTGTTGTTTCCTGAATGAAAAGTTCTTCACCAAAGTTTGGATTGTAGATGTAGATTTAACTGATATAATTCCAAACTTCCAAAAAAGTAAAAAAAAAAACAAAAAAAAAAACAATCCACTGGACTTCCCATCCAGGAAGCTTTTTCATTTCATAATGTCAGAAATAGCATTGACTTTAATGCTCTTATACAGTAGACCATACATAGAGTATATATATACAGTAACCCCGTATAGATTCAAAACAAATCTTACTGTTTTCTAAGGTTTAAATGTTTATGGCAGGTTTAAGCTGCCGCTTTTATAACTTCCAATATGAGAGAGCTGTGGTGCAAGAGATTAAATAGCTTGTCTGTGGACACGAAAAACTGGAGAGTTTAGGTTTAAGTCAGTTATTTTTAGCAAAGCCCTGATCTACAGTACAACTGCTGATAGAAATTACTTATTAACCTATTCACTACTAAACATGATCGTCTAAGTAAAGCAAAATGGTCAACTGCAGCCTTGGTAATCTTCATCCATGCAGATTAGCAGACGGTTTACAGATTAAAGTAACAATACCACAATTTCCAGGACAAAGAAGCATAACAATGAATGAATTAAGAGACCAAGGTCAAAATTTCAAGAAAGGACATGGAAAATTTTAAGACAGTGGTTCCATGTTAGTTGTTTTATGGGAATATGGTCTTAATGTTATTGTAAAATGAAAGCAATGGTGTAATCTTTAAAAAGCTGCCGTTTCATAGCACTTACGGTAAGAATATGTATGCTTTACTTACCGGTAATAACTTGAAAAGCAGGTTAGGCTTTGACAGATAAGGTGCACACCCATTTTGGCACTTCATGCTTATCACAATGATGTGTGCAGTTTAGCTGTCCACTTCACTTTTGTTTGCACCTAAAACTTATTTCATTCATCTGATAGTTTAATTTAGTATTTAATCAGAGAACCTACATATATGTAGCACCAGCTGGTAAAGTAAGAACAGTTTATTTAATAATTTAGTGTAAAACTGAAGAGCATGCCAGGCTTCCTCATAAGATACTGATCCCAGGTGACAATAATAACATATTGATGACATGAATTGAAATGTAATGTCTTCAGGTACAGGGAGCGGCTTCGTATGCTGCTGGAGGAGGAGAGATGTCAGCGCCGCAGAAGCTGGCAGGTTGGAGTGAGTGCCCTGGAAGAGCAGCAGCAGCAGCTGCTGGAGGCTCAGAGAAGTGCAAATGAGGCCCTCAGGGAGAAAGACTCTTTCACCTTTATACACAGGTAAAAAAACAAAACAAAAACAAAGGCATTCCTACTTTTTATGAATTCATTCACATACTGCTTTGCAACAGCATTTCTGCTACTCACACCTGTAAAATTTGTCATATACTGCCTTTGTGTGTTTTATATGGATTCTGTACAATGGACCAATACAAAGTGTTCTACTGTAAATTAGGTTTAAAACCTTCAGCCTATTAAGAATTAGATTAATTAATTTATTGTTTGCTAAATTATTAATGTTAAAGATCTAAGGCTGTGTGAATGGTAGAGCTACTGTTTATTTGTTTATGAATTGGTTTTTCTTTGACCCTCCACCTTGTCAGTCCGCCTCCTGCTGAGATTAACAAGTAGAAGCAGCTGATGAGGTGGATGTGATTGTTTGTTTGAAGGAGTGAGGAGTGCAACAGTTTTTTCACACACTTAACTTAACGTTTATACTTGAATTTTTTGTAAATCAACTCTGAGAATATTTCTTTTATTATTCATAAGTAAAGAAAACACCCCTTTTTGAAACAAGAAAATTCTCCACGAGTGCTTTTTGTTTTGTGAGTCGAAAAACCTCCTCCTAAGACTACTCTGGCAATTTTTGATTTTCTGAGAAACTATTTTGGTGCAAGAGTAGCCGTAACAAAATCTTTATTCATAACATTCTGGAAAGTGTGTAATGCATATGTATTTTGTATTCTAATCTAATATCCTTAGATGCTACTAAATTAGGAGTGAATCTGTTAACTGGGGAGTGTTGGCCCAGTGGTTAGTGCAGTGCATTGTGCTCTGAGAAGGTTGCGAGTACCCAGTTCAATCCTCACAGCCTGCACACTGGGTTCCTGAGCAAAACCCTTAACCCTTGTGGGATTGCCTTCGAGTCAATGAGTCGATGCAATCAACTGGTTTTCCTTTGATAGAAAAATTTTGAATCAATTTGACTGTATGATCTGGTAAACTTTAAAGTGCCTTAAGATGACGTGCTGTGAATTGGCCCTGTATAAATAAACTGAATTGAATTGAATTGAACCCGACACTGCTCCCCGGGCGCCACACAATGGCAACCCACTGCTCCCCAAAGGCGATGGGTTAAATGCAGTGAGTTAATTTCTCCATTGTGAGATCAACAAAGTTCAATTTCTATCTGTAAAACTATTGATTATGCATTTAATAGCATGCATAGAAAAGTAGCATGAAGAATGTCATCAGATGCATTAACCACAAACCAGGTTAAAACCATGGCAACTATGTGAAAGATGGTACTCTTATCAGACGAGACTAAAAGAAGACCTTTTGGCCTGGTTAAAGTAATTACTAGACACTTAAATGACCGCAGACCCAAAGTGAGAGATCTAGCTTTTATAGATTCAAAAAAAATCTTATATGGAAGAACAGTAACCCTGTACGTCACAGTGAAAACATTATCAACATCATGAAAAATGGTGGTGGCCGAATCATGAAGTAGGAATGTGTTTCTGTAGCAGTGACGTAGAGACTTATAAGGGTTTATAGGAAGATGGATGGTAAATGCAGTCAGCAATCAGAACAGCATTAGCATGTTTTTAATCAATCCAAGCTTGAAAATTGTGGTTTGTGGATGCAATCCTGTCTCTGTTACCGTCAGCTACAAAGAACCATCATGATTCTAGTTTCTTGATTTGCAACGTTAGTGGAGAAAAACCCAAAAATGTACAGTAACTGCAGAAAAATGGTGATTTAAAAAAAAAATTGTATGAAAATTCAAATTCTCATGTGTATAGTAAAATTTAAAGCAGTTTTTCTTCTTTTCTCTCCAGATTTATGATGATTGAACAAAAGTTGAGAGATGTCGTCACAAGCAATATTTCCAGCTCCATTCCTTCAAAGGTTGCCCTGAACGCCAAGCGTCTCCAAACAGGCCTCAAAACCAACGACTTCCGTACAGAAATGGTCCGTCTCCTTGACACTCTTCATATCCTGCTCAACCCGCTGGAGGTCACGTTTAGTGTCTGCACTGCCCACGCCAGCTTGTTGGTGTCCAACGACCTGCGAACAGTCCGATACAGCAACACCAAGCAGGCCTACATTGAGCACCCAGAACGTTTCATGAGTGTGCCTCAGATCCTTTGCAGCCAGGGTTTTTCAGGAGGCACTCATATCTGGATGGTAGAAATGGGTGTTAACTGCATGTGGTCCCTTGGTGCATGCTACAAGAGCATCCCTCGCCGTGGAGACCACAGTCGCTTGGGCCACAACGCAGTATCCTGGAGACTTCAGTGGAAAAATGGCAAGCTTACTGTGTGCTCTTCGTCAAGCAATGCTTCACTGGGAGAGACTCTCCAACATCCAATTAAGATTGAGGTTGCGCTTGACTATGAAGGGGGAACTCTGTCTTTCCATTCCATCAGACCTCGCAGGGAACACCTTCACACATTTAAGACTGTGTTTAAAGAGCCAGTTTATCCAGCTTTTAGTATCCATTCAAACACCCCAGAGTCATGGATCACTCTGCACGGGGAAGTCTAAGACCACCCTTTAAACCTTTATTCCTAATGCATAGATGTGTTTGTTTATTTCTATTGTTACACTTTCCCCGGATCTCCAATATCACTAACTTTATTCCAATTTTTGCCATGTAAGCATTTTAAAGGCCAATTTATGCTTCTGGCGCATGGCCTCTGCAACCATCAAATCTGCGCAACCACGCCCCCAGAGGTTCTGCAACCGTCGTTGCGCTCTTCAACAAAATCCTGACTACATGTCGCAAACCCGTGCAGAGCTCAAGCAGAAGTGCACAGACAAAAACCAGCTGTGATTGGTCCTTGGTATGCCTTTCCGGCTGTCTGTGTGGTTGTCCTTTTTAATACGGTGCCGGGGCATGCCATTTTTAAAAAACCGAGGAGCCACTACAAAGGACAACTATGACAAAAGGTTAATTCGAGGAGGTTCGGAAGTAAAATTACCTGTACGATCCCTCTGATAATTTATATATAAATGCCAAGGTCTCTGCCAAATCGAAGTTCTCGCGAGTTCTCTAATAGGCTCCCCCTAGCACTTTGCCAGGAAACTTCCGTGCGTACCATAAACCAAGAGGTTTGTCATCTCCTACCACAGGCTTGTATTTTATGCGGATGACACTCAAATATTTATTAATACCAAATTCTTCACACTGATACCCCACTTCCTAACATGTCCTCCAACACGACCTGGATGTGGACCTCTAAGCCCTACTCCAGAGTACTTATGTCCAGATTATTTACAGTGGTATTTGAGGCATCTAGAGGAACAAGGATGTTTGAAGTCCCTGTGAAATTCTGAACTTTTATTCCAGGCTAACTTAATATCCTTCACAGAAGTATACCTATCCCACCTGAGAAACACTTTGACTGCTCCTTACAGTAAATTAGCTCTTACTGACCCCAGTTTAGGGCTGATCCATGCCTTTGCTGGATTACTGCAGTTAAGTCCTCATGAGGACTTCCAATAGGGGCCTGGCTAGTCTCCAGTATGTCTAAAGCTCACCTGTTAGTCTACTAAGCCTTACCAACATATCACCTCCTCTCTCATAAATACCCACTGGCTGCATGTCAAGTACCACATAGCTTACAAGATCTTCTCACTTGAAAAATCCCTGTGCTCACAGAGTAATGCAGACATCCTCAGCTATGGGTCTACATTCTGTCTCTTGCAAAAAACGGAGTTCAGAAGATCAGGCTTGGGCATTTCTCAAAACTATCTTCTTCAATGAGGAATTAATTTTAGCTTTGAAAGTTAATTCCCTCTCTGTTAAACATCCTTGAATTTCTTTATATATATGAATCTTAGTTCTTCTTCATATTGTTTATATATAGTAGCATGATTGATTTTCATTTAATTAGCATTTTATTGAATCCTATGAGACGCTACCTGTTTAGTTTACAGAACAGTCATGATAAGGGTGTTTTTGTGGCCTACATACAGTATGACATGGGTGTTTTGTAACTGTTACCACATTTGTTAAATATATTCACATTAATATGATGCAGCTGCGCTAAATTGTGTGTGTTTTCCCCTATGATTATGATTTTTATTTTTTATTTTGAATACAGTAAAAAAGAGAAGGCTGACATTTACACTAAAGTTGAGACATGTTTTGTGTTTAGGGTACAAATAAATTATTTGACGCAAAAAATAAAGCTTAGAATGGTTGCTTCTGTTTGTATGTTACTGTGTGTGTCACTGTTGTTCTGAAGGACGCATTTTTATATGTTAAGCCAGCCTTAGGAAGCAAGAAACTTTGCATCTCATTAGGATCTCTTATTGCCCTTGGGTTCAAAAGAAACCTTCAATTTACACAAGACAAATGAAGGTTTTATATACTTACAAAGAATGGTATTTGGAATTTAAAAAATATATTTACAGCTACATCTAATTATATTTTTTCCTGCCTTTGTCTTCTTTTGCATATATAGAATGGAATGAAAGTTTCCAGTATAAATTATTTATCTGAAATGATTAAACTTTGAATTTTTTTAAACTAGTTAATAGTGATATAAAAAAGAATAGAATAGAAAATTACCCCACAATGGGGGCATGTATGTATAATGTATAGAATTTAGGTGAATAAACATGTTTATTTTTGTTTTTCAACAGATGAAATGGATACGAAAAGACCTTACAATATTTAATTAGAACTTCCCAATAATTTTCTGACTTGCATCTACAGCATCTTTTGAATGAATTAACAGTGAACAGATTTGGTAGGTTTCACTAAAAACTGCAAACCAATGAGGTTGATTCTAGATGTGTGAATGTTCTGGATGTTGCTTTTAAATAATTGGTTTAACAAAGCATCCATTAATATGCCAGGCTTTCAGCCAGTTTGAAAGAATTCACTGGGTTAGATATGAATATGTAGTTGATGATATATATGAAATATCAATGAATATAAAATTAGACAATCTTTGACAGTCTATACAAAGGTGAAAGTTGCCAGTCATATAGTTGCATGCATTGCATAAATATGTTAATGAATAAAATGTAGAGAAAAAAACGTTGTCTTATATATATATATTTAAACAGTTTTCACCAACTGAGGAAATAATCTCTATACTTAGAACAATTGTGTCCAGATATGATCTTGAAATTATTATCCATGCCTTTATGTCTTCCAGTTTAGACTACTGTAACAATCTATTCTCATGTCTAAACAAAAACGAGGTGTCTCGTCTTAAGCAGGTGCAGAACTCTACGGCGAGGTTACTGACTCGTACAAACAGAAGGAATCATATTACGCCGATTCTAAAAAACTATTCATTGGCTCCCAGTCTCTTTTTGGCAGTGTTGTATAAAGTACTGAAATCTCGGAGTCAAGTAAAAGTATAAGTACCTCTCCAAAATATGACTTTGGTAAAAGTCCAAGTTACTGACTGAAATGTTACTTGAGTAAAAGTCTTAAAGTATCTGAAATGGCTTGTACTTACCGGTAAGTATAAGAATCACTGTAAAAATAGATGTACTCAAGTAATGTAGTGAAAAGTATAAGTAAAAAGTAAGTGCAGTTTGAATGACATTTTTTTATACTTTGGTAAACTTTGAAGGTTAAATTTGCTTAAAATAATATACACAACCAAGTGTAGGATAAATTTAGACTGGCTTTGCGAAAAAGACGTATTCTATTGGTGTTGATGAACAAGAACAGGCAAGACCAGACTTTGTAGTCAGTAGGGGTCAAAACACTTGCGTTTCTCTCGCTCGCTCGCTCGCTCGTTTTTTTTTTTTTTTTACTTAGTAACTAAACCAAACATTGAAAATTTATAGGAGTAAAAGTATGCAATTAAGTTTGTAAATGTAGTGAAGTAAAAGTGAAAGTTCTCAAAAAAATGTATACTCTTGGAAAGTATAAAGTACTCCAAAATATACTTAAGTACAGTAGTGAAGTATTTTTACTTTGTCACTATACAACACTGCGTTTTGGTTCCAGTTTAAAATCCTGGTGCTGACCTTCAGGGCCTTTCAGTCAGGCCCCCTCCTACATTAGAGACTTGTTGTTGTGTCCTTATACCCCCTCTGGGAGGCTGAGGTCTCAGGACCAGATCCTACTCATAGTCCTTCGTACTTGTTACAGGACCAGGGGAGATCGCACTGGAACAACCTTCTGTTTTTGTTGCTCTTACTTGATTCTGTTCATGTTTTTAAGAGTGAACTGAAAACCGTTTCTTAAAATTGTTTAAGAAAGCATTTTAAATCCAGTAGATTAGGGGTTGTTTTATGACCATGTCACTGTAATTTTATTTCTATTTGTATTTTAATTTGTAAAGCACTTTGTGACCTGTATGTCTGTGAAAGGTGCTACATAAATAAAAATTACTTACTTACTATATATATTTATTGCCAAATTAGCTAATTCCAGATGTTTTGCACTTTACATTCATTTGAGATAACTTGTAATTAAGTTGAGATTCACAATTAGGGCCCACATGCAACTTTGGACCACCAATGGCCATAAGTGACCGGGGTTGCCTGTTTGAGGTATAATATGATAATAAAACAAGTCTAAATTTGATCCTTTGTCGTTTTTCATCCAATAGAAATCTTCGTTTTTTCCTAGCATATTTATCTCAGAACTTTATTAGATTACATTATTGATAAAAAAACAATCCTTCAGGTTGGAAACCTAACCAAACGGGGAACATTTCAGACCAACCTGGCAACCCTAACCCATCTGTGTCACCCATTCTGTCATTGGGCAGGACATAAACACTGTTTCATGGTCTCTACAACGTTTACCTTCCAACTATTAAGTGAACTATCAGGTGATTGAGTGAGTTATGGGTTCGGGGGAGAGTACAACCAGGAAAGTGTCCTTCGGCGTGGATGATGAGGACAGAGTGAGGATTCTCCGTGGGATAAAGGTAAAGCTAATGTAGCTAGAAGTCATGCTAACAGGAGGTTAGTGAGAGTTGGAAGCTTGTTGCTCTGTAGCACATGGACAGCAGGTATGCAGGGACCAGGTGTTTCAGCCTTTTCTGGATCCAGCATAGATACAGTAGAGGCTGTGGAGCAGGTTAATTCATTAATATATTTTTCCCCCTTCGCCGAACTTCACTGGATACAGGCTGATTGTAGCAGATCAACGTTGGTATCTAAAAGCTAATTAACGCAGCGAGTTGAATATTGAATTTAGAGATCTGCTTGGACTAAAGACTAAATCGGCTTAAAAGTCGTATACAGTGGATTAATGTGCATTACATTTATAGTGCTTTACTATTTTTAGTACCTTTAACAATGCCGCAAAATGAACCGTAATCATTGCGACTATTGTGTATTATTATGCGTGTTACATCGCTGATATATCGTGCAAGAAATAAAAAGGTAAATGTGTTATTTAAAGCTAATTTTGTAGTTTTGGAGATAGCTTAAATTGAACAGTTTTTAAATGGAGTTTGGCGAACAGCTGTGGAGCATGGGGGTGCTGCGTTCAAGGTCCAGTATAAAAATTGGAATTTCATGTTATGATGGGTGGTCCAGCAAAGTGTTTGCGGTAAAAGTTTATATGGCTAAACATTTTGCTAACGTAGATTTTGTTGTATTACTTTTTTATTGTTTGGCTTACTAAAATGGGTTATAGAAAAAAAAACCCTGAATGAACTGTAACTATACAGTCATATGTTTACATTACTGTTTTTCATCACAATGTTTTTATCACTGCTACTTACCTTATCAAGGCTGCATAAAAAAAAAAATGAAAATTTCTAGAGAGCTGTTCTTAACAAAATTTATTTTTGTTTACACTTGTGTTTACAAAATGACAAAATAAATCTGTCTTAAGTCTAAAGGAGAATGAATATTTCCCAAGTTAAATTATGGAAATTTTTAGTATTTACTGTATTTACTTTTCTTCTGTATGTTATGTAACTTTGTCTTTTGCATTGAGTCCATACTTAATTAAAGTATTCGGTGTCACAATTTTCAAAACATTTTCTCCTGGACTTTCATACATATTTAGTCATTTCCTTCTGCTGCCACAGTTAATCAGGCTCTGTGCTGGTGGCTCTAGCAACATGAAATTCTGTTATTTGTCTCTCAAGAACAGCAGCT